GATCTGCTTCAGTTCTTTCTAAGGTTTAGGGACAGTAGGTTCTTTATTCAAGCCTATGCCCTGGAAACCATAAAAGTAGCTGCTTCACTATTTTTAGGGAAATTAATCTAGCCAGGATAATTACAGCAACCCATACTGGAAATTGATGACTAATCAAAAGGACAGGAAATAGAAAATTTCACATTCTTAAAGGTACAGCAGATAGACTCCACTTCTGGACAGTGAAGTTGGTCTTTTCAAATACAATCAGGGGGTGCAAAATTGGACTAGAGCAGTGGTTCTCAACCTTCTGGCCCTTTAAATACAGTTCCTCATGTTGTGACCCAACCATAAAATTATTTTCGTTGCTACTTCATAACTGTAATGCTGCTACTGTTATGAATCATAATGTAAATATCTGATATGCAGGATGGTCTTAGGCGACCCCTGTGAAAGGGTCGTTCGACTGCCAAAGGGGTCGCGACCCACAGGTTGAGAACCGCTGGCCTAGAGGCTTATCAAAATAGTGTGTGAGTCTCAGGCTTCGTCACCCGGGCTCTATCAGGCCCAGTTGCCTAAGTCTTGCATGTGGAGCTGTAATAAAAGAGAAATCAGTCTGCTAAGGTAGATCCAATGGGGCTTGTGGGATAGGGACAGAGAACTGAAACCCTTCAGGGAGCCTGTCACACAGGCAACACTGCTCCCATGAGGAGGCAGCACCACAAGGGTCCTTACAGGCCACCGTGTAGTGTGCCAACAGCACTGCATTTCGAGTCCAAAGGACTAGATCTGGGGCCTGACTGCATGTCTTGGGACTGTTTCCCTGTCCATGCAGTGAGCACAATAAAAGCTTTCTCAATGACTGTTGGAAAGAGTAAATAAGATACCCTGTTCGAAACCACTGTGAAAAGTCCAGGTGATCTGTATGCAGGGAAGGCACATGCCCCATCTCCATTCTATGAGACACTGGTGGCATCTCCCTTCTGGGAGTCGTGTCTTGAGCTGTCGGGTTTGTCACCTTTTCAAATCGTGTTTCAGGTCCTCCAGGCCCCACTGATGGGCATGGAATCCCCCATCTCCACAATGCAGGCACAGGCTCCTCGAAACAATTTCAGTAAAACTGTAAGCCAAGCGCAAATGGGAAAGTTTTCTGCTTTCTCAGAGCATATTGTATATTGTGAAAATACTGGTTATATACTTGAAATAAAGAAAACACTATAAAATTAACCAAAGTGAAGTTCCTCATAAATGTCTCTTTTGTAATGTAGTATGTAAGTACATGCATATACAATGTAGCTCTTATAGGCAAGGAATACAACATGAGTTACCTTAAGAAACATAAATTTTGCTGGCAGGAAAGGTTTGGGAGGTGCAAATTCTCCTAAGACTAACATTAGCTATAAAAAAATGTAGTATTTCAGTGCAATTCAATATTTTCTTTCATCAGAGGCTCAGAGCCGCAGCCCACAAGTTAAGAGGAATGCAGTAAGCTGACTGTGTGTGTTACAACTGAAGCTCCTTTTGCAACCAGGATTCTAGGAGACAGAGCAAAGAGGTGGCCATGGACTTGAGCTGAAATGGGAATTCCTGCACTTTTGTTCAGAATGCTAGTATCTTGGCTGGGAGAGCTGCATTCCTTCTGCAGTTGCAGCAGCAACCTAAGTCTAAGAACCAGTGAACAGCTGTGAAAGACAGGCACAGAGACGAGGGCCTGGGTGATGGCGCCAGGCCTCTCTCCACCTCCAAGTCCACCCGGAACCACTCCACACCACTCTGCTTTGCTAGAATCTCCAAGTTAAAGTCATTAGGTACTAATTCTCCATTTGCTGAGAGAAGTGGGAAGATCTGTACACAGGGCGACCACCTGAGAAGGAGGAGGTACCTTTTTAACTAAAAATAAAGGGGGCGAGGGCAGAGAAATAATTCATTTATTTAACCCAGAAATGGTTATAATCTGAAAGCCTGCAAACCCATTACACAACAACTGTTCTGGCAAACGCCGCTATGTTCCAACAAATATTAAACTGTGCTTGCCATTTGTCTAAGGAATCTTGCATTAATAAACATGAAGAAGAACACTTTTACCTCCCACTCTCAATGACAGGACCAAACAAAGACCAGCTGTATTCATCAATGGGTCCTTGTTCTGCACATAAAGGCTAATTACATTTTGCTTCAAGCCTACACATGGAAAACTTTACTGCTGTGGTGGCCGTCACAGTCAGCCCGTGCTGTCCCAGCTGACGCAGGGTGATGACTGTACACAATAAACAGGGGTCTTGGAACAGCCCTGGTGCCTTCGACCTGCAGGCTTCTTTACAAAATGGGGGTGAGGGATGGTCACACCAGTGACATCTTCCAGCAACACAGAGGCAGAGGCAACCCATGCTCTTTAAATCTCATGGCGCGATGATGCCAGCAAGGTCAGTCTTCTCCAAGATCTGCTAATTTCAGAAAAGCGCCCCAAGCCCTCCTGCAAGTTTGCTAGGAATAGCTTCTACTGCTGATGGTGCTGTCACTGTGTGCTAGGTGCTGCACACACACCTTCTCATTACTCGTCACAACCGCCCCATGCCTTGACTACTATTATACCCATTGTACAGGTGAGAAAAGAGAGATGTGAAGGTCACACAGGGAGAGTGAGTAGTGGCCCTGTGTGAACCACTCCCAGGTCAGTGTTCTCAAAGCCCACATTCCCTATGCCTCCCCAACCCCCTTCCTATGTTTTCTGTCAACAAATAGATAAGAATCGTTCCTTTCCAAGAGATACAATGAATTGTTCTGAAATGTTTGAAGACCATTTGTGAAAAGATTTGCCCCTGGAGGGCTTATAATTATATGTATTAAAGAAAAGCTGTCTACTCTAATAAAACATACACAGGTTGGGGCTGAAGCAGATGATACAGTGACAAACCTTTCCCAGAAAATAGAAGGGGAGAGGAATGCGGAGGGGGAAGCTTCACGTGGGATCTCCAAGACTGAAGCAATTGCCTCCAAAGTTAAAAGAAAGTAGCAATTATTATCTCAGTCCATTCTCTACATTTTTTGAGGATTACTTACTCTGGGAACCATCTACAGTAAGTGTTTGCCCCCAGGCTGCCTTTTGTTAGTAGTTGTCCATCTCTGATTTGGGAAATGCGGGGTCCCTGTGTGAGCCCAAGTCCAACCCTCAGCACCCATCGTGCCCATCTTGACCCTGCAGAGAAGCCATTCAGGACTTCGGGATGGTCCTCCAAAGAGCAACCTTGCTGGCCTGTTTTCACAAACTACCTCCTTTGGCCTCCAGGAGCTCCTCATCTTGACTCATCTTTCAACCTCAAATCACATGTCACTCCCTCAGGAAGGCTTCCTTGACAATTCTTTCCTTTCGCTCTAGCTGGGCCTGGGCTGGGGACACTTGCCATTCTCATTTCCAGTTCCCTCTCCCCCATCTCCCAGGGGCTGCCCTCTGGCTTCTAAGTTTGCCACAAGGATTCCTGGCAGGGAAAGGAAGGAGGGTACGTCCACGGGGTGCTGGTGCCACCCCAGATTTCTCAACCCTCCCAAAGGCCACCAGTTCCTCTCAAGGTGGTCACTTCAAACCTGGGCATGGCAGACTCCACCCAGTGCTCACTACGGATGCTACATTCTCTCTATGTCTCTCCCCCTGCCCCGCTCCTGGCCCAAGCCACAGCGAACAGTCCAGCTTTAAACTCTCTCTGATTACCCTAGTTGGAGTGTGCTGCCTTGTCTTCTGCAGAGACCCTGACTGGCACAGGTGCCTGTCATAATTAATGTTCCTTCTATTACAGCAGTGATCACACTGGATTGCAATGGCTTTTCTCTCTCCTGAGCCTTTTATCCCAGGCTTTCCAGAGTCCAGCACTGGTCTAGGCACAAAGGAGGCCTCCAGGAATGTCTGCTGGACTAATGAGTGGACCTGTTATTTTTGAGTCACGCATATTGTGTTTCTGTCAGGCTTGTTCTCTCCACGTGCACATGTGCATACCACACCCAGCCTCCCTATTCATCACCGGAGAATTTCCTGCTATGATCACAGGAGGGAACACACACCAGGAGCACTCATGACCCTGTCAGCAGTTTGTGACAACAGCCAGTCCCAAAGCAAAGTATTTTCATGATGAGCAATTGATCCCCATATATTGTGATAGTTTTCTGGTTCTGGTTGAGAGAAGTGAATTACCCCGCAGCATTAGCCTGGCCTATAGTGAGTCCTGAAGAGGATGGGGATAGGGGCTACGACATCCCTTCTCTGATTCTGTCTCCCAGTCACTTCCCCAGCCACCATGTTCCCTACCCAGAGAAGATGAAAACCTTAGAGCAGAAGGAAATTTAAGTCCTTACTGGATGACTGTTCTCTGTTTCAACCTCAGTCCCTAAAACAAACCAATCAGGTGGACACAAATTTTCCATGCAGGCTTTTGGAAGCAAAGATGAATCTAAACCAGGGACAGTATCCCTGCAGGCCCTCTACCGGGAATTGAGCCTGTAACCCCGCATGTGCCCTGACTGGGAATCAAACTGGCAGCCTTTCAGTGCACGGGGTGACACCCAACCAACTGAGCCACACCAGCCAAGGCTGGAAGTTGAACTTTTCTAACGCTCTCAAAGCAATGTTTTTCAAAAATGGTTTATAACTGAGATCCACAGGAGTAACTATGTTTTACATTTTGATCCTGGGAGTAGGGTGGCACTATTTAGCGCCACCCCCACCCCCGCCACCTCCCCCAGCCCACTAGGGCTTGTGTGAGTGAGCACAGCAGAACTTTCTTTCCAGAAAGTTTCAGGTGGTAGGATTGTTCTGAGAGCACCAGAGCTTGGGTATTAAACTGACACAAGCAACTCATGGGAATGACACTGCATTCCTTACAGCAGTTCCAGAGGCCAAGCACTTCTAAACCCTGAACCGCTCTGCAAAGCCAACAGACAGAAGGGAGAAGAGGGGAAATCCTTCATGGATTGGCAAAATCATGTGAGACCTGACCAAACATGCAGATGGAGGAAGCCAGGCAGAGACTTACTTGGCAGTAATTTCTTCATCATATTTGGTTTTCAGGTCAAATAATTCTGTTCGAGTTTTTTCCAGGGCTGAAAGGAAGAGGACGTAAAACCATAACGTAAGACACTAATTGTTTAAATTAAATTTAAAAAGGAACAGTATACAAGTAACGGATTCTCATTTCAAAAAGAGTAAAAAATTACCAAAGTATATAGAATGGAATAGAAAATCGCCTTTCACTTCCACCTCATTTCATCCCATGCACCTCCTCAGAGATCACCACTGGTTATATTAGTGTTTAGATTTCTTCCCTTTAAATATATTTTGTTGTTTAAAAATATCCCCATACATCTTTGTACATCAAGCATGTCAAACTCACGACCCGTGGGCCGCATGCCTCATTTATTTGGCCCGTGCTAGCCTTTGAGTTTGACGTGCTTGTTGTACATGTATCTATCTATTTTTCATCCCCCATAAATAGAATGATACAAGTATTTCCTGAGACTTGCCTTTATCAGTAACAATTAGCTCGGGTATAGAGCCTGCCTGCCCCATGTCAGGCACTTCAGCGTGCCTAGAAATGAGGGGCTGGGGTAAGGAGCTTCGACGTTCCAACTGCAGATCAATACCACCAGCCGGCCTCCCAACAGGCAAATTACATTCCCACTAATACTCTTAGTGAGACTATTTTCCTATGTACTCACCAACACCGAAGACTATCAATTAAAAATTTGTTTGACAGTCTGCTAGGCAAAATAATCGTTCACTGATTTAATTAGCATATCCCAGACTATTAAAAATTGTTAACATTTTTTTCATGTGTATCAGCCATGTGTATTTATTCTGCAAATTGCCTGTTCACATCCTTACTCCACTGTTCTACTGGACTGTTTATCTACTTTTATGTTTTGTAGGTAGTCTTTATATATTTTGAGTTTTATGCATTGTCTGTTAAGTTTGTTGTGATTATTTTCCCATTTAAATTAAACATATAGTGCTGTTTCCCTCAGAATAAAAAAAAGAAACAAAGTAATAAAAAATTTAGCATAACCTTTCTTGCTATCTTTTACATTTTAAAGGTCTGTTATCTCTGTTCTCCTTAACTTCACTAGGGGTAGAAATAAGTTTTTCTTTTCCTAATATTGTTCCAAATGAAATGTCGGTCCTTGACAGTTTGGTGATTTAGATGAGTTTGTTGGAAAAAGAGCAGGAATAAAGAATGGCTTGTGGAAAGGAAGAAAATGTAATTCAGATCCTCCCGCCTCGACATTAACAACTCAGTGTGGGTGACTAACGGAAGTCAAGGTGGAGAAGCGGGGGGCTCTCCGTGGCGTTCTGGAGCGTGGGCGCCCTTCCTCCTCCGGGCTCACCACGCGGGGCAACAGAGAGCAGAGGGGGCCTGGAGAGACCTGGAGATCGACCAAACTTCCCCCATGTCAGTCTTCCCTGCATCAACTTGACAAGCATGAAGAATATCACACCTGTTTGCAGGGTCTGAACTTTATGTTCCGCTTCTTCCAGCTTTGAGGTGGTGGACATCTGTGTCTCTTGCAGCTTTCTGAAAAGGAAGAGAAGAAAGCCAAATTGGTCATCTTGTTTACCAACATAAACACCTTGTGTGTGTTGGAGCTAAGATGATCAGCTATCTTCACCATAACACACACAGCCAGCAACAGGCACATGATTAGGTATCACTTGTCATGCCATGAGCACTGAGGAGCTCACTTACTGATGATCTTCTACTACCCAACTCTGTACCCACATGTTACATGAAGTGAAGTGTGCATCCTGTGGGACTTGATGGGTGGTAACTGATGTAGAAGGTCATCCTAAATGTAATTGGTTCTGAAATGCCAGATATTAAAAAAATCATCATCATGCACTCATTGTTTTCTGAAGTTAGCCCACGAAGAATGATACATCTACATTTTGCTGACACAATGAAGGAATTTGTTGGAATAAAGGATGTATTAAATAGATGTGACAGCTGTTCCATTTTTGTGATAATGGAATGCGAATGCAACTGCAATACCTAATGGGAAATACTGAATGTTTTAAACTACATTCCACATATTTACATTTCCCATGATCTCCAAATGAATTCCCTGGTCAATAAATAACATTCCTTCCTCCTAATCTGCAGAAAATTCTCCAAAAATAAGTTTATTATTTTTACATCATATGAATATAACATATGCTCTCATAATAATAAATCTGGGAATACAGAAAAGTAGAAATGACAGTTTTAAAAAAGTACCCAAATTTCCATCACCTATGGAAATGAACTGCTCATATTTTCACATACTTCAATTATATGCCCTGAGTTAAAAACAAACAAAAAAACCCCAAAACATCCTATATAATAAAAGCCTAATATGTGAACTGTCCGGTCGTCTGTTCAACCAAAGCGTAATATGCTAATGATATGCTAAGGCCACGCAATCACTCGCTATGACATGCACTGACCACTGGGGGAAGTCGACCGGTTGACCAGTCTCTATGACATGCACTGACCACCAGAGGGCAGATGCTCCGACTGGTAGGTTAGCTTGCTGCTGGGGTCCGGCCGATTGGGACTGAGCAAGATGGGCCAGACATGCCCTGGAGCCCTCCCATGGTTCCTCCCTGGCTGGCCAACCTCCTGTGTCCCTCCCTGGCCCTGATCGTGCACCGGTGGGGTCCCTCAGCCCAGCCTGCTTCCTCTTGCAATCCAGGACCCCTTGGGGAATGTTGGAGAGCTGGTTTAGGCCTGATCCCGCTCAATACAGGAGCCGCCACCTGGTGGTCAGTATGGCTGGCAAGCACAGCGGTGGCGGTGGGAGCCTCTCCTGTCTCTGTGGCAGCGCTAAGGATGTCCAACTGCCCTGGGGGGAGCGTGCCTAAGCTGTCAGTCGTATATCCCCCAAGGGCTCCAGGACTGCAAGAGGAAGCAGGCCGGGCTGAGGGACTCTCCCCAAGTGCACGAATTTCATGCACCGGGCCACTAGTGAATATTATAAGAGCATGGAAGGTAGTTCTCTTTCTTAGTTCTATTTCTTCCTCATACAGAGTTCTTTCATAGCCTTCTAAAATTTTTCTACGTTTACAGAAATATAATATACTCTAAAGCAGCGGTTCTCAACCTGTGGGTCACAACCCCTTTGGGGGTCGAATGACCCTTTCACAGGGGTCGCCTAAGACTATCGGAAAACACATATATAATTACATATTGTTTTTGTGATTAATCACTATGCTTTAATTATGTTCAATTTGTAACAATGAAATTGGGGGTCACCACAACATGAGGAACTGTATTAAAGGGTCGCGGCATTAGGAAGGTTGAGAACCACTGCTCTAAAGTAATATACACTGATGTAATTTACTATAGTGTAATGTAAACTCATATGCAATATACTGTAGTGTAATATATACTCATATGTAATATACTATAGTGTAATATACACTTACATGTTATATACTGTGTGTGATATACACTCATATCTAATACTAGAGGCCTGGTGCACGAAATTCCCTTCAGCCCAGCCTGCACCCTCTCCAATCCGGGAACCCTTGGGGGATGTGCCCGGGATTGGGCCTAAACTGGCAGTCGGACATCCCTCTCACAATCCTGGACTGCTGGCTCCTAATTGCTCACCTGCCTGCCTGCTTGGTCGCCCCTAACTGCCCCCCCTCACGGGGCTAGTCGCCTCTCACTGTCCCCCCCAGCCAGCCTAATTGCCCCCAACTTCCCCCCCTGCCAGCCTGGTCGCCCCCAACTGCCTCTGGGCTGGCCTGGTCACCCTACGCAGCCTGATGTTCATTTGTTTGGTCGTCCCTTACTAACCCCCCTGCTGGCCTGGTGGTAGGCAGCTATCTTGTGAGGCCATGAGAGTTAATTTGCATATTACCTCTTTATTATATAGGATTTTGAAATATAAACTCATATGTAATATACTATAGTTCAATATGCGCTCACATGTAGTATATACTGCAGTGTATATTACATATACTGCCTGCCCCTTCTTTTAGGACAAAAGGGATGACAGCACACAGGGCATTCTGAAGTTTGCTTTTTTTCTTATCTCCATACTTTTGGAGATATTCTACTCTAGCATATATAGTTCTTCTTTATTCTTATTAAATAATTGACATAAGCAAGTCTCTAAAAACATTTAGATTGCTTATCTTTTATTTCCCACTAAATAATTCTGCAGTGATCATCATGTACATTTGTTGCATAATTCTGAGAGCAACTGTTAGATAATAATGATCAAAAGATATGTGCAATTTTTTTTTGTTTAGATAGATGTCGAGAAACTTCCCAACAAAACAAACCTCACCAAGTAAACTCCCTTCAATAGTATGTTAGTCTGTTTTCCTATGCCAACACTGAATAAAACTAAATGTAATTTTACTGCGGAGTAAAGCTGAGCATTTCTGTTTGTATGAACTGTCTGCTGATCGCCTTTGCCCATTTTTTGTGGTGCTGCTTTTTTCTTATTAATTCTTTGTATATAAAGAAAATTAGTCCTTTTTCTTATGTGGTGCTAATACTTCTTCCCAGTCTCCTGATGCTTTAAAAATACTATCTATTGGTATTTGTTTTTAAAAAGGTTTTAAATTTTAATTAATGAAAATAGATTGCTCACATTTTCACATACTTCCTAATTTTCCTTTTATGCTTACAGAGATTTCCCCACTCCAAAATTATTAAAAACAAAATATTTGCCCAAGCTTTCTTTCAATATGCAAATTATTTAATCGTTATTCAAATCCTAGATCCATTTCAATTTTTTCATGTAAAGAATGAGGTAAAGATCTAGCTTTGCCCTCCACTCCCAGTGGTCAGTTATTCACATCTTTTAATAGAATAAATCCTTTTACCTATTTTGAAAAGTCAACTTAAAAATATTAAATTGCCATATTAAGTTTATTTTCATACTTTTGTAATATATGTTTGCTCTATGCAGATGGACTCACACTGTCCATAATATTTTATCATTCATTTTTCACTTTATATTATGCTGGATATATTTCTGTTGTTATTACAAATTCTATGTGACTATTATTTTAATAGCTACATAATGTTCCATCTTTTACTGACCTACTTCTCATTGGCAAGCGTTTCAATTGCTTACACCCTGCCGCCCCCCCATTATCAGTAACATGGTGACAATTTCTTTGGGCAAAAAGTGCTTTGCTAGGAGGCATTAAGAGTCCACTCATCTCTGAGAGCCCTGACTTCTCTGGGGGGTGCACCCAGCCCCGATCTCTCAGCAGTGTGGGTACAGCATCCCTGTGTAGAGTTGGGCTTGGCCTTGGTCCTGAAGTGAGGATTTTGAAGCCAGTCTGAGCACAGGGAGGCCAGGCCTGCAGTGTGGATCAGACCCTGGTCCCACCTCAGGCTGACTAGGTGGGAGAGCAGCTAAGCTGAGGTTTAGTTTCTCCATCTGTAAAATGAGATGCCCACTTTGCAGGCCTGTTCTGGACTATGTTCCAAGAGGGCCTGGTGGGTGCAGAGCAGGCACTAGGTGAGTGGAGTAGGCATTCTTCTTTCCTAAGTGAAGCCAGCTTAATAGTACTCCAGAGTCCTCAGTGATACCCATCTTCTTTGAGCCCCCCGTATGGAAGTCAAGAACCTGCGCTCAAAGTCAACCGGACACATTAGGCCGGATTCTCACTTGAAACCACACATTTACTGCTTCTTGTTAATGGATACACTCATTCTTCATGATAGTTTTAAAATAGAAAATCTGTATTTCACCAGAGTTCTAAAACTCCAACTTATGTCCTATTACAGTTTTTATAAGAAATCTACCTTTCATGAAATCATCATAAGAGTGAAAACCAGCTCACTATTTGTAGAAATGTTTTGGGTGAAGTAGGCGATCCAAGATCTAAAACTCACAGCAGTTGGATGGTTCATGAACACATTTTACTGACATCAGCTCCTTGATCTACAAAGCACTATGAGGTAATGAAAAGATGTACAATTGCCATGTGCCAACCACACACAGTTCATGCATGGCCTGGACAGGCACACTGACTGAGATGGTCCCCCAGCGGGAGAAGACGGATACATTTCACTCAAGGTAGTCTCACCCATTACAGAATAGGGGACACCTTTAGTTTTCAAATAATTTTCCCTAGAGACCCTAGAATTTTGGTTTACTCCTGGGCATATTTCACAGGTACATTTTAAAAACTGTCTTGTAATGTGAAGTTTAGATGTAAAACATTATGTCAGTACCTGCAAACCCCAACACATGCTCACCTCTCCTTTTCTGCAAAATCATTTTGTAACTTTTGTTCCTTTTCGAGAGCTATAGTCTCAGCTTGGTTCTTCAGAGTCTGTTCATATTCTCGGATTTTCTCTTTAAGTGCTTTTATCGTAACCTCTGCAGAAAGAAAAGAAAAGAAAAAAAAACTACAGTAAGAGAAGCACAGTCCTGTGTGGCTATATATACAGGCTTTCGTAACCGAGTAGGATCGGTGTGTTTTAAACTTTAGCTCTTCAACTCTGACACAAAATCAATGGTTATGAGTCCCTTCAGAGACCTTTTACTCCCTAAATGTTAAATTGAACTTTAAACGTTTAGGTTGAGGAGGATCAATGGATTTTTCTGGGAAGAAGAGCTATGGTTTCTCTAATACAACTTACAAAAAAGGAGGGGGGAATCAATGGTAAAATATAACATCTTATTGATGAGTCTTAAATTAGTCCTCTACTGAGGAAAATTAATAATGTTTTAGTGTGGGTTTTAGTACTTTCTTACAAAGAAAACAGTTCATAATTATGTGTACATGTTGGAAGATGCCGTCTTAGCTGAAGTCACTATGTCTGCAGGCCTGCCTGGCTGTGGGCACACTTTTGCCATGTCACAGTGATGAAATATGGAGTGTGCTGAGTGGATGCAACATGCATCTCCTTGGCTGGGTAGGACCCACCTTGCAGGCTGGCCCTGGAAAGCTCAGGCCAGGGATGCCATGAGGGATCCCCCACCAGGGATGCCATGTTTACAGCTGTCACTTCAATTACCCAAAATGGGAACACCAAAGTAGGTGTAATGAATGGGGCAGGGTCCTAACTAAGAGCAGTGGTGGCTCTAGGGCAGGACCGCTCCACATGCTCCCTCCCACAGATACCTCCTCCCTGTGTGCTGAACAGTCCCTGGCAGAGAGAGCACTGTGGTCCCAACTCCAAGGAGAATGGAGCTCTTGCATGAACCCAACTCTTAGAAGGAAAAGCTGAGGCTCTTTGTGGCCCCAGCACCTGGCACAGGTGGGTGCTCTGGAAATGGCCGAGTCATAATGAATGAAGGAGCTGAGGCTGGGCCGACAGGGTGAGGCCCAGACAGGGCTTGTGACAATGGGGCTCCATGCTCATGGGACAATGCCACCTGCCAAATCTTTGCCCAAGTAAGAGCTTGCTCGGTGGCCCCTGTTCCTTCAGGTTGTAACTCAGGTCCACCTTTACTGCCTGAGCAGCACAGACAAGCTGGGCAAGGCAGGAGTGCATCAACTGGGCATTTAGTATTTATGGGGCTTAGTGGATAAAAGCTAAAGGCTCTTTGTTTAAAAGAAGAAATTGGCCGTTTTTATTAAGTGGAACCCAGATGGTTCTCCTTAGAGCAGTGGTTCTCAACCTTCCTAATGCCGCGACCCTTTAATACAGTTCCTCATGTTGTGGTGACCCCCAACCATAAAATTATTTTCATTGCTACTTCATAACTGTAATTTTGCTACTGTTATGAATTGTAATGTAAATATCTGATATGCAGGATGTAATTTCATTGTTACAAGCTGAACATAATTAAGCATAGTGATTAATCACAAAAACAATATGTAATTATATATGGGTTTTCCGATGGTCTTAGGCGACCACTGTGAAAGGGTCTTTCGACCCCCAAAGGGGTTGCGACCCACAGGTTGAGAACCGCTGCCTTAAAACTAGTGACCCTGTCAGGGCATTTGAAAGAAGAACAGGGGCTCTCTGCCTTTTGGACTGGTTATTCCGGGCCTGAAAGAAATGCTCTGTGAGCACTATGGTTAGTGGTTCCCATTAGTATCAAGCCACACCAACAGGGCCAAAGTCACCTCTGAAAACACTTGCACATTCTGTAAGTCAATGGTCTACGCAAACATTTAGAATTTCTGCCTCTAACAATTGGTGGAAATATCTGCTCAGCCCCTGGACCCCAGTGCTTATTCCAATGGGTTTCTCAGTTTGGCACGTCTATGCCCCTTCCAGGGGGCATTGGGGCACTGGCTGGGGCTCCCACTCCGTCTGATGAGGTGGGTAGCTCACTGATCGGCTGAGCCTAAGTCCAGGGCTGATTTGTCCTGGAGCCTCTGACTGTGGTCCTCCTCCTGTATACAGGTCTGGCTCCAGAACATGCTCCTGGGTGTGCCCAGCAGGACCCCCTACAGGAGAGAGAATAGTGTGGCGGAAAGGGCACTGAAGGGCTCTGTTCTCATTGGCTATGGCTGGGGCCCCAACTTACTCATCTTTAAATGTGGGGAAGAATTATAGCACGTAATAATTTCCCGTCCTGCTCTAACTTTTTACCGATCTACAATATGTAATGACTAAAACAAGTGACACGCACCCCAACCCTTCCAAATTAAAATCATTTTTATATTGGGAAGGAAAGAGAAGAACTTAACATTTTTCTGGAGGTTGGAAAATCTGTTAATATATCAATAAATAAAGAAGCAGGGGGGATTTCTAGAAAAACAACAGTGCTCCATAAGAGCAGCCGATCTTCACTGGTGTCAGGAACAGAGCTAAATGTCTCACCAGCATCTCATTTTACCTATAACTATCTTATGCGGTTAGTGTGAGAATCCCCCACCCAAGAAAATGAGGCTTATCACAAGGCGAGATCCCTTGTTCAAGGTCACACAGCTAAGTAGCAGCAATGAAGGGACTCAAACCTGGCCTGTATGCCCCAGTGCCTTTGTCCTTAAGTCTCTGACTAAATAATATACTCTTTCATTTATAAACACCCATCAGTGGGCCTTTGGGGAGCAGAACATTTCACTCTCAGTTGCTGTCCTTGCTGGGCATGGAGGCACTGACGAAAGCAAGGCTGGGGGGAAGGACACCAGCACCTCACCATCCACCAACAAAACAGAATGAAAATAAACACCAAGAGTGAGATGCCAGAGGTCACTGGATGGAAAAACAACAACGTTCATTCCTTTTGGATAGGGCTATAGCGGAGCCCAGGTATGTGCATTTATAGGTTATCTTTCTTTTTAATTTAATTTTGACATTTGTATATACCCCTGAAACCATCATGACAATCAAAATAATTAGCTTTTCCATCATCCCAACAGTTTTCTTGTACCCCTTTGTAAAGTTTCCATCCTGTCCCACCCCTGCTGAATCTGCTTTCTTTCTTTCTTTCCTTTTTTTTTACAGATTATCTTTCACCTGAGCATTTCGATAGTTCTGAAAAGAAACAACTCCTGCTGAGGAAAGGCAGCACCTTCTCCCACCCGAATCCCAGTCTAGTAAGTCCAACACCTCATTTCCCAGCAGGACAAAGCTGTCCCTGAGTCCCAGTGACTCATCGCTCCCCGTGGCACCAGATGGAGGTGTGTGGGTAGGGGGGTGGGGGGTGGGGGGTGGGAGGGAGGCGGTATCTTAGCTGTCTCCCACCTCTAGTCCCCCGAGGAAGGGGACCCATGGGACTGCTGCCCACACTGCCCAGGCCTGTACCTTCTAGCTGATCATCATAGTCTTTTCCTGGATCCTTTTCGTGGACAATCCCTCCTCGCAAGCCTGTCTTCAATGGGCTCAAAGCCCAAGGACACTTTAAAAAATCTTCATCAGTTAATTCTTTATCCAACTCTCGGAGAATATTAAACAGAAGGCCACTCGGAGGAGGTCACCGAAGTGGTTTGCCTTTCCTTGCTAGCTCCTGCTCACCCAAACCTCAGACAAAAACCAATAGGCTGCATGTCTCCTTGGAGCTGCCTGAAAAACCTGCAGCTGCTGTCAGACAGGGCTGTGCTTTCTCTTCAAGAAGATGTCATAGGGCTCCTGGAATCTGAGCACATCTGGATTTTAGGTGCAGGAGCGATTTCTTTGTTCTTCCCTGACAGGAAAAGCCAGGCAATTTTTGCCCTTTTTGTCTTGTTGATGGCAGGGCAACCACACCAAGAGGCCGTTTTCTTTCATTAAATTGTAATGAATAGGTGATGCTGACAAGGAAACAGTAGTGCTTAAGCATGCAGACTTGTAGGATGCAGCTAAAGCCTTAATGTATCAGCGGCAATTATTAAATGACTTACTGTATGTGACCCTTTGATCATAAGCTGGATCTCTGACAGGTGTCGCCCACAGGCAACACATCATTCTTGTAAAAGGCAGATCCTATCACATGATGATACAGGAAGAATTTTAAAAGAATCCTGATCAGTCCCGTCACAGGGCAATAAAATTAGATGTAGTTACTGTGCAGAGGAAAAGTTTTACTTCTAAATAGCTAAGCATTATTATTATCTCTCTTTAACGATTATGGTTCTTACCCCACCCTGACTTTATGACGTATATTACAATTAGAGCTAGTCCCAACAGGATGGGGAAGGCAATTAAAAAAAAGAAAAGAAAAAGCCAAGCAAAGACGCATCTTCCACCAACCTTGATTTTTCACTTCAGCAAATTCCTTGTTGTATTCCTCGAGTGTTTCCCTAAGTTTCTGGTTCTCTGTTTCAATGTCGTGCAGGCGCTGCACTTTGAGCTGGAGCTGCTGCCCGAGATCCAGGGCTGGTACAGGATCTGCACGAGAGGATAACACACATCAGCCCACTCTGGACCCAGACAAGCCACCTTCATGGTCACACCGAGGCTCAGGGAGACCTCCAGCCTGTGGCTGCTACCACTTGCCGGAAGTTGGGGCACATGGGGCCTTGCCACCTCCTTCAGAGTCCCTGGGAGCACCATGGCTGGGTTAGGGCCACTTCTCTGTTGCTAAAGAGGATGTGTGTGTAATCAGACCCAACCCAGGGCCTCCAAAGCATGAAAATAGGGTGAAATGGCCATGGACTCACTGGGATATGCCCACTGCTCTGGCATGGTGTGACACTGAACCTTTGAGCTGATAGGAAGAGAGACACATGTGGCGACAGCAAGCAGAGGCACCCTGGGAGATCATCCATGCACCTAGAGCTGCACGGGAGGATCGATGGTGTGTGGGGAGGTGCCTAACCCACAAGTTTACAGTAATTCTTATGAAGTTGAAATAACACCTAATACTCTGAGAGTGCCTCACTGTCACAGAGCACTTTTACAGATATTTTCTCTTTTGAGTCTCACTATAATACTGGAAAAGAAATGTAAGATGTGTACTAGTTCCTTTCACAGAAGTAGAGACTAAAGCTCAGGAAGCCGAGTGACTTGTCCAGGTTTCCCGGCCAGTTAGTGGGCAGAGAGAACTCGAACCCAAGTCTGTTAACTCCAAGTGACTGTTGTTCCAACAAGGAAGATCCCCTGATGGAGTGGAGTTAATAAGTAGGACATGCTCACTTTCTATCATAATCCTCCTTTACTAATCAAGGACACTCACAAGAGAGTCAGGTGAGCTGGTGAGCCAACCCGAGGTGACAGTGACCTGTCCTAGGCCATTGGGCCAGGTAGCCAGGAGACCACCACACTCTAATTAATTATAGTATAAACAGCAGGAGATGGCACCTGGGCCAGTTATGTGAGGTCTTGTGGCTAATTCAATATACTATCTGCCATCAGATTTACTTACAAAAAACTGGATTTTAATCTAAAAATAGATTGCAGACACAGAATTTATGTACTGACTGTTGGCACAAAAGGGAGAGACAGTAAACATTTTTCTGGCATTCATTCTATCTTTATTTTTTTGTCGTCTGCCTAAAAGGCATGCATAATCCACCTGCTGGCACCAGCAGAGCACTTCCTCTAGAACGCTTGCTCCATCAGAGTAGAATACCCAAGTCCGATGGGCTCAGAAAAGATTATTGAAGATATTTCTGGTATGGACGCCAGCATCACTTGTGAAATGGCTGCAAGGATTTAGTCTCCGGTAGAGGAATGCTAAACACCGAGCACAGCGGATCAACAAGGGTATATATTCAAGAGCTCACTTAATTTTCAAATACCAGAGTCATTAATTTTTCAGACCACCCCTGGTTCCTGGAACTGAGGGCTAGATCCACGTTTCAGTCGACGCGTCTGCCAGGAGCCAGGAGCTCTCGGAGATGCCAACGTCTTCACAGAGTTTACAAAAGGCGGGCACTGGGATGTGTCCAGCACAACGGCGGACCTGCACGTGGGGTTTAATGCCAACACTGTCCATCATGTGAAACCTCTGGCTGCCGGGCACTTATTCTGTGTGTGTATACAGTTTATGACTACATCACTTTCTTATTTGTGGCTTTTCATTATTATTTTAATCAGCATTAAAATATTTATATTAAATTAGATTTCAAGAGCTATTTAGGGAAGATAGTTCTTTGTAAGTAGAAATAGTAACAACAGTAAAGACTGAATTACTCAGAACATTCCAGGTGTAGGTGTTTTGTTTTTTTAAATTCAGTATTTTCCAGGGTACCATCCCACTACTCCCCCCTTCCTCCATGACCTTGTACTGGGCAAATGGCCTGAAGGAAATAAACTGCATGCCTTCATGGCCCCCTTCACATAGAACTACAATCTGAACTTGATACAGAGGTCAGGGAAGGATGGAGGAGGAGAGCTGCTGCTCTGTATAAAATTCTATTAGTGTTCGTTCATGTAGGCTTTCTGGCACAACTGCCAGTACAAATTATATCTTTAGAGAGCTAAGCTAGTATACTGCAACCCATCCCTAAAATTTCTGTCGACAACTTTTCTAGTCCATTCCTTAAAAAAAAATAAAAATAAAAATCCAGGACCCACTGTGTCTGCTTCGAATAAAAAATAGCTTCCCTCATTCTATTCGGCAAGGAATTCAGTGACATATAAAAATAACATGCATATTATCAAGTGAATGGTAACTAGACCTTTAGAGAAAATTTCAAAGCATTATATTGTAAATGAAAATTCTGGCAATCTCATAATTATTCATTATGGCATGTATATTTAATTTAACACTATTAAAGGTTAATGCCTAAGTAGCAAAACTGGTCACAGAATAAAGAATGAACTGAATGTTCAAACATCTCTATGCATTAAACTCCAAACTTTACTACAGTACAGTTGAATGACTAAACGCCTGCAGCATTTGAATCTTGTTTTGGATTATGTAAAAGGCATTGCTAAAGTACCTCTTAGGCTTAATTTTTATTACCTGCATTAAAGGAACAGCTAATTACCACATGACAATATAATGACTCTAGCGTGTTTGGACTAGAGACCAAAACAACGATTTTCGGCATGCCAAACCCCAACCTGCATGTTAATCTAGGGGAAATCATAGCTTTTTTGTCTTGTTAATGATTTCCAATGCTATTTAAACCCCACACAAGTATTGTTAGGCCTTATTCTGAACATCACAAGCCTCCGATCTCAGCAGCTCAATTAGAGAATTGTCTGGGGGAGGCAAGAGAACACACCCATATGTAGAACAGGAACACACAAAACCCTCACCTGTCTTCCCTGCCTCCTCCAATTCAACAGGCTTTATTGCCAGTTCCATCCACCCAATGTGACAAACTTGCAATTTGTTTTACAATCATCTAATAGTTAATTCCTAAAACACCCACTGAGGCACTATAGAGCTCATTATGCAACAGGACCCAAAGAACATAATTACAATGAACAATAACACAGTCACCTGTATTCATTCAGCACCTTCTCCTAAGTACATGTGACATTACCTCATTAATTCCAGACATCCCAGTCAGGGTTGGGGGAGGTGGCTCTGCAATATGTCTGATGCTGGCTCCTCACCCAAGAAACAGGGAGAGGAGAGAAGTCAGTGAGGCAAACAAGTATACAAAGTTCTAATGAAGATTTCTGCTTCCTGAACTAGTAGCCAACTGAAATTATTCTGTTTCTTCAAGTCCTAATTGAACAAGTATTTCCTAAGCATCTTTCTGCTCTGGGTAAGGCCCAAGTGAGACAATGGGATGGACATTCGGCTATGTCAGCTGGTACCTACCAGCTTCACAGTAGAGATAGACCATGTTCACGAATATCAACGGTAAAACAGGATGGACCACGTAGGTCAGATGAGTAAATGACCCATTCCAGATAGAGAAACTGGGAAAGATAGACTTTTTTTTTTAAAAAAAAATAGGAGACAAAGAGTTCAGATCCATGGAGACTGTGTGGCAGTGAGTCCATGAAGAAGATGCAGCATTTAGGGGGAAAAGGAGCAGGGAAGCGCCAGGCACAGTTCAGTCTACTGCTGGCACTCAAGGACACATTCTGTGACATCAGGACTGTTCTAGGTGCTGGGGGGACATGACGGTGAACAAGACAAAACCTTGCTCTCAAAGACTTGACATTCTGAAGTGAGGGATATAGACAAAAAGCAAAATAAAATAAAATAATAAAATACTTTCAAGGGCTGCCAAGCATGAGTAAGAGAGAAAACAGGGTATGGAGAATGGGGAATGGGTACTGGAGACAGACTGACAGTGAGGGTCTGTTGAAGGAGGTGACACTGAATGGGGATCTGGATGGTGAAGGGGAGATACAGGAAGATCCTGGGCAGAGGAGACAGCATTGCAAAGGTCCAGGGGTGGATGCGAACGTGGCATGGTCAAGGCAGAGAGAAGCTGGTAAGGCTGCAACAAAGGGGAAGGAGAGAGGCAAAGCGCAAGTGGCCAGGGAGGAAGGCCCATGCTCAAAGATTAAACAAAAATATGAGCATAATCAAGGAGAGAAATAGAATATGTGAAGAAGAACAAAACAGAATCCTAGAGGTGAAAATACATTATCTGAGGTATCCTGTTAGTGCAGTAGGTAGCACATCAGTCTCATAAAAATACAATGCTGAAGAAAGCCAGAGGACCGAGTCTGGATTCAATTCTACTCCTGATGGGAAAAACCATCAGAGAATAGGACTGGGGCAAGACAAGTGACCGGGGCATGAGAAAGAAAAACTGCAATTCTTTGAACCACAAAAAGGTCTGTTGGTTTTCCAGTTGTAAAGTATTTAAGAGTTTTAAGCTTAAAGATAAGTTATACAATTTTCTTTTAAAAAGTTAAGTGTTCCAAATTAGCTGCCCATTCTGTGACAGCAGATGGCTATCAGTCGTATGTTGTCTGACGAACATTAAAACAACAACAACACACCAACATAAACTATGTCTTTGAAGTCAATGTAATGTTTTAATACTTAGTGGGAAAATTATTGCTTCTTGAAAGAAACTCATCTATAGTAAGAACATTCTAAAAGTGGACATTTGGAAAATTTCCCATCATTACATAAACTTATGAGCAAAGACAACATCCTCTTCAAAAATGTCTCAATGTCTCTTATATGAGAGTATAGCATAATGGTTTAGAGTATGGGGCAGATTGCATGTGTTCAAATCTCAGCTCTGCCATTTAACTGGCTGTACAACCTTAGACAAGTTACTTAATACTTAATTACAAAAGATAATATGTGCATACACTTAGACAACCGCCAGGCATGGAGTTAACACTCAATAAACATTACCTATTACCAACCAACTCAAACGTGATGAAATATTTGCCAAAAGGAGTTTCAAATAATTTATTACTAATATGAAAAATACAGTATCTTCTGACTAGTTGCAAGAAAAATTGAGTATCAGGAAAAATCAAAATGTACTAGTTGAATTTCAACAAATAAT